TTCCAAAAATATTCAGCTTTGATATTAATTAGTTTTTTGGGTTCATTGAGAACATGGTTGTTGTTCAATAATAAAATTAATCCTCAAAAATACAACTTGCCTAATAATTCTGCACTCCCTGTATATATACATACATACATACATACAAACACACACACACACACACTACAGCTACAATATAACCCCAATACACATGCACTCACACTGTAGCCCATAGACGTACACGCACACACTTTACAGGCACCATGGAAAATTATCTTGCAACTTCTGAAAACGTTTTCCAGTTTTCGTGATAAGGTGTCTTGCCTGTAATAAGGAAGGCGCAGCGGTGGAAATACAGGCAGTGCTGATGCTGCAGTTACACCAGGGCCCATTGAGTGGCCCGTACACTTAGGGCCCTCTATACGTTAGTTACAACACTGTGCAGCAGCTTCCCCAGCACACAAGCTCTGCCCCTGCATGGAAGATCGCCTCCCCGTACACAAGCTCCACCATCATATGGAAGATCCACCCTCTCACACAAGCTCCATCCCCATTCTTTAGCAGAGGACTTTGCTACATGAAGAAGCCCGAAAATGGCCTCCAAGTTCTCCCAAAGCCACAACCTCCAGTGCCAGATTGGCTTCCAATACTTAGCATGGAAGAGTTATCTTGTATATGCACGTGCCTGCTAGTGAGTGAACTTGTGTGTGTCGGTTAGCTTTTCTGTAGTGAGCTTGTGTGTGTTTCATTGAACTTTTCTGTAGTGAACATGTGTGTTAGTGAGCTTGTCTGTAATGAGCATGCATGTGTGTCAGTGAGCTTGTCTATAGTGAGCTTGTGTGTGTATCAGAGAGCTTGTCTATAGTGATCATGTGTGTCCATGAGCTTGTCTGTAGTGAGTATGTATGTCAGTTTACTTGTCTGTAGTGAGAATTTGTGTGTTTCAGTGAGCTTGTCTCAAGTGAGCATGTGTGTGTGTCAGTGAGCTTGTCTATAGTGAGCTTCTGTGTGTATCAGTGAGCTTGTTGGTAGTGAGCTTGTGTGTGTGTCAGTGAGCTTGTCTGTAGTGAGCTTGTGTGTGTGTCAGTGACCTTGTCTTGTCATTGCTAATCTCAACCATGGAGGCAGGTTCAGCCATGAACATGGCACGGCGTCAGAAAAAAGGTTTCTAAAAACACCTTTCTCATGCGATCAAAGGAGGCAGGTACCTAAACATACACTCACTGGCAGTCACGCAATCTCTTACTGAGACACACACTGACAAACACACAGACATTCTGACAGACATACACTGACAGACACACACTCTCTGACTGAGACACACACACTCTGGCACATACACACACACACAGCTTAACGAAGAGCTGACAAATCCCAGGGCAAATTTTGTAGTCGCCATGCCGACCTGGGATTTGTCGAGCCCTGTGTATGTATGATTGTGTGTACATATATATGTACACACATATGTGCATGTTTTATAACTGCCCCCCATACTGTTGTCCCTGGCCTCTCATGGGCCTCTCCCCCCTAAATATGAATCCTGGAGATGCCACTGTTTGTTATGAGCTATTTGTAATGATTAATGATCCTCTGTGTTTACCATATATTATTACATTGAACACCTTTTTGAATTATGATCTGTGTGCAACATTCAAGACAAGTTGTCTGAAATCTTTCAAAATGTCACCTTAAGGTGTTGGGGACTCTATGGGAACATGGACCCAGCTGGACATATTTTTGATTTTTAATTTTGGAACAATATATTTCTCTTATAAAGAAGATTACTAATTTTAGACTTATCTCCTCTGCTGAGGTTTGCCCTTTTTGTTTAGTTTTTACCAAAACTATTTAAGTGGGACTCCAAAATCTTAATTTTAACTTAACCCCTTAATGGTACTGTATAGGCATACACCCAAAATGTTAACCTACTGTTACTAAATGTTTTTTTTCCTTAAATAGTGTAAAAATTATTTTTAAATTTTTGCTATTGCTTTATTTTTTTGAATTTGACAATTTTTATTTTGTCAGCGTTAAATGTAAAACATGGGAGTACAGAAGAGAAGTGGGTGGGGAAATTGCAATTTGTTGCGACTTTAGTTTACTAGTGTGTGGGGTGAGGGTACAGAAGGAAAAAATGGGGGGGGGGAGGGGAGCCCTACTTTGGTTCGGTAGTTGGCGGCGTCATTATCAAATTTCACAGCATCTTGGACAGTTACATTTTGGTAGTGTGTCAGTTGCATTCAGATGCAACTCTAGATGTTGCATTTGGAGATATGTAGCAGGGTATTAGTGTCACCTTTCTATGTAGCCCGCTTAAAAGGGTGCTCTTGGGGTTTAGGTTCATGGATGGTGGTTCACGAGGTTGTCCTCGTTAAGTCTGGACAGGGGAGGATGGGGGAGTGTGGGGGGAACTCTTTTTCCCCAGAGTTCCCATGCTGTGGACCAGTATGGGGTTGTTCGTTGAGTGTTTCTTGCCATGGTATATATATATTCGTATATCTTATTGGTGTCTACAGCGGTGACACACTGGGTAAGTGTGGGGGGGAAGATCGCTTCCATTTTCTGTTAATGATGGTAAGTGCGGCAATGATGATGTGGTAGGCAAGGTATCTCTGGTGTTTTTGCGGTGTGTATGGCAGCAGGAGGAGCAGAAAGGTCTCGGGCCGGTACGGTAGTTGTATGTTAGTGCATTTGGTGATTAAATCCGCTACTTGTTGCCAGTACTGTTGGAGCTCCGAGCATTGCCACCAGATGTGCATCATAGTGCCTCTGTCTTTTTGGCATCTCCAGCAGGTGTCTGATGTGGTGGGGAAGCTGTGTTTAAGGTGTGTGGGGACTAGATGCCATCTGTGTAATATTATCCGGGTTAGTTCCAGGTGAGTCGTGCAAAGGGTCAATTGTTTATGTGCCTTGAAGATGATTTGCCATTGGGCCTCTGAGCGTCAGCCTCCAATGTCTCTTTCCCATGCTGATATAAAGGAGGGGGGTTTTGTTGAGGTTGGGTGTGTTCCGAGGTGTAGATCGTGGAGATGAGTTTTTTGGTCGGTTTGTTCGTTATGCATATTTGTTCTATGGTTTGCCAGCGTGGGTCAGATTTAGTAGGGGGTTTTGTTTTCAGTTGGCGGGCGAACCAGGATTGTAGTTGCATGTAGGAGAACTTAGCTGTCATGGGCAGTTCAAACTTCTGTCTCAGGTCTGAGAATTTCTTCAGGTGGGGGCCATGCGTTAGTTGTGATATCGTTTTTTTTCCGTGCCTGTGCCAGAGTTTGTAGTTGAAATCAGGTATGAGAAGTTTAAGTGATTCAAATGGGAGGGTAGGGGAGGTTAGGTCGTTGTTACCTATACATTTTTGGTAGTTGTCCCATATGGAGAGGATGAGTGTGGTTGTGGGCAATAGTTCGGCGTTTCTTGGTCTTTGGGATTTCGGCAGCCAGGCCAATGCTGATATGGGTATGCCGTTTGCGTAGCTCTTTTCTATTTTGACCCATGCCATCATTTCACGTTAGTGCGATGCTGCTAATAGGGGTGCTATGTGTGCTGCTCTGTAGTATCCTATTATGTCTGGCATGCCCATCCCGCCCTGGGTGAAAGACCGGTGCATTGTGAATTTCGCTACTCGTGGTTTTTTGTCATCCCATACATAGTCGTTTAGGAGATTTTGCAAGTCGCGGATGTATTTGTGCGGGAGTCGTAACGGGAGCGTGTGAAAGAGGTATTGGATCTTTGGTAGAGGCATCATTTTCACAGAAGCTATTCGGCCTGCCCATGAGACGAACTTCCCTTTCCACCCTTATATGAGTGTTCGGATTTCACTAAGTAATTTGAGATAGTTTGCTTTGAATACTGTGTTGGGTGTGGGTGTGAAGTTGACCCCTAAAAACTTTATATGGTCCTGTCTCCAATCGTATGTGAAGTTGGTCTTGAGTTGTTCCATATCTTGTGCAGGAACATTGATTCGTAGGGCAAGGGTTTTTGCAATGTTTAGTTTATAGTAGGAGCAGCGACTGTACTGAGTGAGAAGTTTGTGGAAATTGGGGAGGGATATATGTGGTTGTTCCAGAGTTAAAAGCATGTCATCTGCGACCAGGGACAATTTGTATTCTTGACCCTTGATTTTAACTCCATGTATGTTTGGCTCATCCCTTATTAGTTGTGTCAGGAGGTATTTTTTGGGGGGTGTCGGGGTCAGGCTAGAGGTGTAGGCTTTTGACCTTGTACCCGAGGCTGCGGGTATAGGGGGCTCCCTGATAATAGGGGTTTCGTGCCCTCAGTTTGGGACTCCTAACTTGGGTCGCCTTGGGCGGGGGGACCTGGTTTAAATACTGCCTCTTTGTTACATGCCTGCACAAGTACATTTACAGTTTTAGCCGGCTGGTGGGTGCTGCTGCACATATGAGAGAGTTTTATCAGTGGAAAGGTTAAAAATTAAGTAAACATGAGTTAAACATTGTTAGAAGGTAGCTACAAGTCGTGAGCTAAAATCAGTATACTTGCGGTGTCTCATGGTTGTCAGTTCTTAGTATTTAGTCCACCTGTGTCCTGCGGCCTTGTCTGGGGGACCGTTGAGTGTCCTTAGATGTGGAGCTGAGTGGACCCGATTCTGCCAGTGATTTCATACCCTCCTCAGGGGAGGAGATGACTTTCATGTCACCATTTCTTGTAACGATTAATTTAGTGGGGAAACCCCACCTGTACCGGGGCCCTCAGTTCCTCAATTCCGATGTGACTTGCTGAAATTCTCTTCTTTTTCTAAGAGCAGCCACGGAGAGGTCCACCATGATACGGATTGTGGGATAGTCTTCGTGAAGGTCTTGTTTGCTACGGTGCGTTTTGAGTATAAGTTCCTTGATGTGGTAAAAATGTGCCCTGAGGCACACAGGTGTGGAGTCAGGTAGGATATCAGGCGCGTAGGCACGGAAAAGGCCTCTGACAAAAATTGGCAGTTCGTCTGGAAGGACAGATTCTGGGACACCTCACAGCCGCAGATTATTTCGGCGTGCTCTGTCCTCATTGTCCGCCATGCGATCCTCCATGCGCTCCATTTTGTGTTGCATCGTTAGTATGTGGCCTGTTGTTTCGGCCTGCGTGGAGGCCAGGTCTTGGTAGTGCTGTTCCACATGGGAGGTCCTGTTGGAGAGGTTTCACACCTCCTGTCGGATCTGGTCCGCCATCGACTTCCAGGTGCTGATTAGCTTTGCTGACATGGATTCCATGGCCCTCTCGAAGTGGCTTCTCGTGAGGCATTCCGACATCTGAGGTCAGTCAGCATTTGTGCAGGTGAGGTGTGTATCTTGGTCCTCTGCGCCATCTTGGAGCGCAGCCAGCGCGGCCTCTCTGGTCACTGGTTCTGGCCAATATAGTTTTTATTTATGACTATTTCAATAGATTTGCTCTTTAGCCCTGCAATAATTGCTATACATAAGAATATAACAGAAATGTTTTATGTATGTGTCATTTAGTTCGTTAGTTCATTATGTATTTGAAAGTATTTTTTGTAATAGTGTTAAGATACAATTTAAAGAAAGAAATAGAAATTAACCAGATAAGTACAGATAGAGAAAGAGAAAATAAATAATACATTTGATGATTTGGTATTAGATGACCCTATTTATGACTCTGCAAGAAATAAAATAACTAATACCATATTCTGATGTAATAAAAAAAAAAAAAAAATAGAATACAATAGAAATTATTGCAAATGTACAAATGTTGCCAGTGACGGTGCTGTCACATTTCTACAGTCAACATACATTTGAATTTTAGTTTGAGTTATAATAACATGGGCCATTGAGAGAAAATAAAACAGAGAACGACAAATTATCAGTAGTTTTGTCATTCAGTGCTCAAGCAAATATGCATAACTGCAGGGTAAAAACAACCACCAACTGCTACCTAGAAAAAAACAGTGTAACAGAAAAAAAATCCATTCAATCTCCTACGCTAATTTATAGTGGGAGACAAAATGCATACCAAATCTTTTGTACATTTTCCACCTAGCTATGTAAATCTGTATTCCATGCGTTGTGAAACAAAAATACATTTTCTAAACCATTTAACATCTAAAAAGAATGTAAAATATATTTGTAGTTCGGGGACATTGGCCGTAATAGCAATATAAAACCACATAAGAAAATAACATTCGGTTGTGGTGTGCCGGAACCGACGTATGGGGTAGGCCTGTAATAAAAGAGGGCCTACCCATGAATAGTGATAAAGGGGAGTGTGGGAGGGATGAACCCAGCTGTAAATGTTCTGATGAGGAGGGTGCCTGAGCTTATATAGCCAGGTAACCCCTCCCACAATTACAGGCTATGGCTTTTTATCTGTAGTTGGGGACATTAGCCGTAATAGCAAAATAAAACAACATAAGAAAATAACAGTCGGTTGTGGTGTGCTGGAATCGAGTATGGGGTAGGCCTGTGATAAAAGAGAGCAAAAAGGTTGATGTAAACAAATAACTTTATTGTACACATGTTATACAGCCAGTCCTTTAAACGCTAATCTTAATTCTTGTTATGGTTGTGGAATATAAGTGGTGTATGCTGCAGATTTCCATCGCCGTAGTCTTTTAATTATATGAGCTGGGACGTTTAGGCTCGAAGCCGCAGAAGCGGCTCCAATTCTAAATGAGTGGCCAGAAAACCCTGAGGGGTCAAGACCGAGTCTAATGAACAGACTTCTGATATAGTATATGAACTTCGTAGTGCTCAAGGGGTTGCCATGTAATGACAGTAGTGGAGTATTACTATTAAGACCCACCAGGGTATAATGGTATGTGTCAAATAATGTAACGGGGCACCATTGGTTACCGGTGGAATAATAGAAGACTTTGGTAGGTGGGCCTAGTTGATTTGTTTTGGTGTGATCGATGGTAAGTACGTAATGGTCTGTGTCTTTTTGAAGGTTCGTAATTTTAAGGTGCTGGTGATTAGACGTGATGTTATTGGTGGTGAATTTATTTGGTCCTAAGAAACCATAGAAGGCTAGATAAGCTGCTGTTTTTATAACAAGATTTGTGTGGTTTCGAATGGATTGGTGTCCAGGATGTCTGAGAGTGCACAAAATGTGGGACTGTCTATAGGGAGCCTGGTAGTGGGTTTGTCTAATCGTTGTATGCTTTTCAAAATGTTTTTAATGGGATAGTAAGACATGAAGGGGTTCATGCTAGGGTAGGCACTAAGGATTTGGTGTTGAATATCTGTGAGATATAGTTTTATGGTGTTTAATGATAATCTTAGATTAAGGTGGCAAAAAGAGATAAATGCTATAATAGAGTCTAGTGAATAGTGATGTCGCGAACGTGAATTTTTCGGTTCGCGAATGGCGAACGCGAACTTCCGCAAATGTTTGCGAACCCAACGAACCCGGCGAACCGCCATAGACTTCAATGGGCAGGCGAATTTTAAAACCCACAGGGACTCTTACTGGTTGAAGTGGGGGGAGGAGACCTACTCTCCTCCCCCCCCGGCCCCCACCCCTGGGCGGCGGGTGGGGGCCATAAAGATAATGAGGGGGGGACCTACTGTCCCCCCCCGGCCCCCACCCCTGAGCGGTGGGTGGGGGCCCTAATAACAATAAGGGGGGGACCTATTGTCCCGCCCCCGCCCCCACCCCTGAGCGGTGGGTGGGGGCCCTAAAATGAAAAATAAGGGGGGGACCTATTGTCCCCCCTGCCCCACCCCTGCGCGGCGGGTGGGGGCCATATTGATAATGAGGGGCGGACCTATGTTCGCTGGGAACTATTCGCCAGCGAACCGTTCGGGACATCACTACTAGTGAATGAGTGTCACTTATCTGGTAGTCTGCCATGAATTTAGTATATAGGGTGAATGCTCTATTGTATGCCCATGATGTGTTTGTAGAGAGGGCTGGAACAGCTATGTGTGATAGCAGTCTTTCTAGTCCAGGATGAGGTTTTGGTATGAGGGGGTGCTGACCGGTCTGGTGCTGGCTGGGGGATGGGCTCTGAAGAAAACCTGTAAATTAAATTGAGACAATGCAGCAGCGGCTGTATTGGTGCATCCTGGGATGTGTATGCAAGTGATGTGGAATTGCAGCATAGCTGCTAACCATGTTGATCGTCGGATCAGTTTCATGATGGTGAGTGAGGAAGATCTGCCCTTATTTATGATGTCACATGCTGCTTTGTTATCGGAGAAGCAATTTCCTTTTTGGTAATTTTATAGTCTGACCTCTTCCTCTGGAGAGAAGGGAGACCTGACCACTCTCCTCTGTCTGTATATTATGGTATTGGTGGGTTGGTGTCATGTTGGTGTGCTTGTTTGTTTCTGTTTGAGACTTCTATCAGTGACAAAGCGAATGTGGACCATGTTTAGGTGCATTTCTTGGCCAGGAGACCACGCCCAAATCACTGATAAGGGAAAGTTGATTGTATTGTTGGTATCGCTGTCTGCCAGTATGAGAGGAGTGGGGTCTAAAGCACCCAGGCCTCTGGTTTGTATGATCAGTAACTTCAAAAAGGGTTATAGAGCAGACTATGGTGTTAAAATGTACCCCATATGACTGGTTGTCCTGTGTGAATGGGAGTGGCCTGTTATGTACCCCTGGTTGGCCCCCTGAGAAGCGAGTTGTCTCATGCTTGCCAGACTCACCTCCACCCCTAGGTCTCCTTGTGCCCGAAGCCTATACTCAATGATCCTTCTGAACCTGTGCTACACGGCTGGCCCCTTATCATGGACCCATCTGTCCCCCTGGTGCCTGTATATATCCCAACCTGGATGACATGCCCCCACCTCCCTCCCCAGATCATATGCCCGAGGATACAACCCCTAAAACTCCAAAAATGGTTCTTAGAACAACTACACAGCCTGCCCCTAGGCCTAACCAGCCTGTATCCAGTGCAATGCACAGCACAGAATACCTGCTACCAGCAGAGGCCTTCTTTAACCCCCTCCTGGGACCTCCAAACCCCCGCTGGTCACCGATATGAGCTCCAGGAAAGGAGTAGAGTTAAAATCTCACCCCGCAGAACCCGACCAGGCCCACGCTTTATAAACGGTGAGGGCCAAATGGTTAATTTTTCCCAGATATTTGTCCCCTTTGCTACCACCGATTTGCTGAATTTGAAGACCCATAACCCCTTCTACACCGAGAAACCCCAGGCCATGACAGACCTCTTTCAGTCCATCATTCACACACATAACCCTACATGATCAGACTGTCAGCAGTTATTGATGACTCTGTTTAACACTGAAGAAAGGTCATGTATCAGCCAAGAGGCCCTTAAATCTCTCAAGGCATCCACTGGGGAAACAGGAATCAGTAATCCTGATGAATGGGCAAACACCCATTTCCCTAATGCAGATCCCAACTGGATCAATTGGTTTGGTGACCTGACCAAACTACAGATCTACCAACAAGCCATCCTGGCTGTAATGAAAGCAATAGCCAAATGCCCCACCAATATCACTAAGGTATCTGAAGTACTCAAGTGCCCTGATGAATCCATCAGTACCTTCCTTGAAAGGCTATTTGAGTCCTACCACCTTTGATCCCACCATACCTGAGAACTCCTGCATAGTTAACCTTGCCTTTGTTAACCTGTCCCAGTGCGATATTAGACACAGGTTACAGAAACAGGAAGGTTTTGCTGGCATGTCACTTACCCAGTTAGTGGAGATTAGTGATGTCGCGAACCCGAAATTTTCGGTTCGCGAACGGCGAACGCGAACTTCCGCAAATGTTCGCGAACCGGCGAACCGCCCGAAACGCCATTGACTTCAATGGGGAGGCGAATTTTAAAACACACAGGGACTCTTTCTGGCCACAATAGGGATGGAAAAGTTGTTTCAAGGGGACTAACACCTGGACTGTGGCATGCCGGAGGGGGATCCATGGCAAAACTCCCATGGAAAATTACACAGTTGATACAGAGTCTGGTTTTAATCCATAAAGGGCAGAAATCACCTAACATTCCTAAATCACAATCAATATGGATTGACACCTGACATATGACATATTGACACCTTGACATATGGATTGACACCTGTCCTAAGGATCCCTGATACACTGACACAGAGCAGAATAGGGACTGTTCCCCCTACATAGGGTCACTTGGCAGATATGGATTGACACCTTGTTACAAACTGCTATTTGTAACGGGCCCTTTAAATGGCAAATTGCCCTGTTTCCCTGGGTTGTGGAGAAGCCTATTTGCCAGCCTCCTCCCGCATGACTATGGCCCCTGGGAGATTGTGAAAATGTATGCACTTTTATTTGGTGTG